TGCTGAGGCTATAATCTCAATACATCTGGGAACACCCCTAGGAAGGCTGGTAGAAAATTAAGAAACAATTATCAATTATACCCACAGATCCCTTTGTTCTGTACCTTATCACCTCTCCAAGGGTCGGTGGGGTGTACCAAAATCAAAGGAGCAGAAGGTAGGGCTGGGCTGACAGCTCCTCTGATTATAAGGCGTGGCCATCACTGTCACTCCCATCATGTCCAAGATCTGCAGCCTTTTAATAATCAAATCAAGTCCAAATTCTTTCATAAGACCACCTCTGAATTAACCAGCAGGTGATGTGGACTCTTTTTTACTTTGATTCCTTTAGCAAGTAGCCTAGACTATATAATTCAGCCCTTGGAACTCATTTATTTTTAGGCCCCAAGTCCTGCCTCTAAGAACCAAAATATGAATTTCTTAAGGGTAGGGACCATGTACCCCACCCCAGTTCTAGGCAAGTGTTAAAAATTAAATCTATACAGAAAGACTATTAGGCATCATACTTGAACATTTTTTCAAATTCAGAAAACTTTTTATTATTTCCTGGTAGTAATTACCAGTGGGGGGCAAGGAGGAATTGGGCTTAGAGAGGCACACATAAGCACCTTCAGTGATATGTTCTAATTCTTAACTTGGAGGATAAGTTCAAGAGCATTCATTTTATTATGCTTCATAACTGAGTAACATACTCATTGGATGTACTCTATTACATGTGACTTTTATTATATCTATGTTCATGATATTATAGGAAAACTATTCTATTGTTTGTATGTATAACAAGACCCAAGAGCTTTCCAAGTTGGGAAGACTGGGATGAGAAAAGTGGTTTAAATAATGGCAAATGGATAAATAAGAATCTTAACTGGACTTCTCGAAAGGACATCAACCTCTGAGAAGCAAGCAGGGACTGATGTAACAGCGATTTGTGGCTACAGTGCACTGACATCATCGATGACCTGCCTACGAAGCAATAACTATTTCTGGTGAGTAAGAAGTACTGACAGGATAGCTCTACCAAAGGCAGTCCAGCACACAGGCCCCAGCAGAGGCGACCAGCCCCAGGTTATTCAATGGGACCTGTGAAGGAGAAAGCAGTTACAGTGGAAGTGTCTGATGCCAACTTAATGTGGGTGATGTCACGGCTGCTCGTCTGTGGGAACGTTTGTTCACATCCCTACCCTAAATGTTAAGTGTCTTCGCACCACCCCATGAGATTGGACAAACAGCAAATACCTCTAGACGTGAGTACCATCAGTGAGGGTTGATGCTCATACTTTATTTTGAGCACAAAGACAAGGACATTTAAATTCATTCGATAACTAAGATAACCATGTGTCGAATACTGTGTCAGGTGCAAGAAATACAAAAGTGACTGATCCCCCCCACAGGAGTTCACAGGAGTGAAGGCAAAACAATGTGAAGATGGTGGCAGAAGGTATGTGTAGGATCTAGGAAAGGACACAAGAAGGAACAGTCAGCTTTATAACAATAAGCCAAGAGATAGGTTTTATAGATGAGGAACGATGAAAAACAAAAAACTGTTATTTCAGAATGAGAGAACAGGCCAATCTAAGGCAGGGAGGCCCCTTTGGGACAATAATTCATAAACAGTAAGCACTATGAGAATGCTTGAGTATAGTTAATATCATGTAGATCTGTTTATCAAGTAGGTGCAGGATTCCTCATCTGTGGAGCAAAACCCGAACAATGAAAACTCTTACTCCTAAAGGTGGGTGGCGTGCGAGAGAGAGAGAGAGGGGGAGAGAGAGAAGGAAGTGCAGGAGCAAATGGCTTTAGCTGCCAGCCATTTAACCTGTGCCAAAATTTCCTTTCTTAGGCGGGCACTACCACCCACTCAAAACCTATCTTTAGAAAAATGAAATACAATTAAACACTTAGTATCCTCTGAAAAAGGAGATGAATAAATTGTGCATCATTTACTTCATGACATCATAGGTAGATGAATTAATAATTAGGTGAAGCAAGTTTCTCCAAGTTTTAAGCAACTGTAAATGGGCATGTCTAGAATAAAACACTGACAGTTCTACAAAGCTTGTCAACCTAATAATTTGGAATTGTAGTATCCCCTAGAGGAAAGGCTCCATCAAACATAAAAAACGTACTATATGCTTTTAAAAAACCATCCACCACCACTAACTGAGGATCACACGCATGCCCACCACCGACTGCAATGCTGTCCAGGCCGCCAGGCAAAGAGGTCACATCTAGTTGAAGCTTTCAAAGCTACCACCACTGAGCAGCAAGAGGAAATCACATTTTACTGCCCCTCTTTTGACTCTGGTTGGATCACAGCGGTCCTTGAAGCAGGGGCGGGAGAGGAGAGGAAGGACGCTGCAAAGGCACCATCTGAGAAGAGCACATCTGGGGGGTTTCATTTAACAGCTGCTGCCTTCTAACAACTCATTTGTGCAGGTAACACACTCCCAGACAAAGGTTATTTCTGCTGACTTTTTGATTTATTCTTCAAAAATGGCAGTCCACAATAAAAGCAGTACAGGCTTTTCAAATGTCTTTATCCACAGGGGCTCTTTTTGTAATTTAAAGGTTTTGAATGCCCGAGGTTTACCACTGACAGGCAAAAGCCGGTGAGAGAAACAAGCTTTCTCAGATGTAAAAGGTACAATAACAGAGGAAAGATATTATGCCGACACGTTTATTTTCAGAGCTGTGGGTTCAAACGAGGGAAATACTGTTCCCAGGACAATCTGGAACACATAACACCCTCAAAGGAAGCCTGTACTTTTGCCTCAATTACAATGATAAATATCAGCAACAAGAAAAAAATGCATAACCAGTAAACTTTGCCACATGAAAGTAGCAAAGAGGGAAATTTGGTCAACTTTTTGGATATATATCAGTGACTGAAACAGATCAGAGGCCAGATTTTTTTCATGGACATCTTGAATTTATCAGCCCCCTTTGTCTGGGTTTTGAGATATACCATTGACATGCTCATTTAGAGTACTTCAGTACTGTTACCAAGAAATAACACTATCATGAAGCATTTTCATAATGCCTACACCGCATTCACTGAATTGATTTGCAAAGCAATGCATGCTTTTAGAGGGATGGAGAGGGAATGATCTAAATTGGACCCTTAAAAAACAATTTGGAAAACACCAGTCTATAAAGAGAGGTGAAGGGAACTTTAAAATTCTACCAAATAGATTTATCTGAAACCAAAAATACTGTGATAAAAAGAATTTCTGACTCATCCATGTGAATAAACAATTAAAAGAGTTGCCTTTTATCTCCCCCTTACATTTCACAGTAGATCCTGGTAATCGACTCACATACCTAGTAGGTAGTTAAAGAAAAACATGCAGCATGATAAAGTGAGAGAACACTTATCCAGGAACAACTCTGACATGTTAACAAATTGGCGCTCAATGTTCCTATTGGAAAGCTGCTCAGAAATGGCTTGAGTTTACAGAATCCAAAAAACATTTGATCTTCATAGAAAGATTCTTGGCTATTATGAAAACTTTAAGTCATTTTAAAGAAAGAGTTATTTTAATTTGGGGGCCTTGCAAGCGTAATTCGAAAATCAACAAAGCCCCCTTTTAATGACCTCTATGAGCAGACAGAGGTCAGTTCTGGAAAAAAGTTACATATATCAACATAAGTGGAAAGCAGGATTTCATGAAGGTCCTCTAAGGCCACAGCACACTTAAACAGATGTTATGTTGTCCTCACCTGAATTTTCAATTCTTTTAATGTTTGATTAGCAGAAACAAGAAGAGCTTTCTCACCACGAACTTTTCTATGTCGCATACTTCGCCGAATAACTTGCTTTTGATAGGCGATATAATTTTGATGGGATATCTTTTGCCTCTTTGTTCCTCCGTTGCTCTATAACGAAGATGCAAAGCAAAGAAAGCACTGCAATTATCTGCAGTATGACCCATGCTGAGAAAGTCCACCAAGAAAACAAAAGCCATCTTATTAGTCCCTTAACCATTTGTAATTCAATGTCAAAAATGAGTAGAAAACTCATCAGAGATTCTTAGCAGGCTCACATAAAATTAAGAAAAAGAAAAGAGTGAATGAGAGATGCCTCTAGCTGCATGTAAGTGCCAAGATTCAAAAAGCTTACTATAAAAGTTATTTAAAAGCAAAATGGTAAGTCTGACCTTAAATTAGAACATACAGGTGGTACACCAGAAAACTTTAAGATTACTAAATTTAATTCATAATCCTAATTGGTATTAAACATTTTCTTGCCTTCTGGAGAATGACACAGAAGTATAAACTGCTGAGAACTTTAAAATAGACAGTACCTTAATCAAGACACCAAACTTAGTTTACTAAAAACAGGAGACATTTGATTCGACATGATCACAATATATATAACTTGGCCTATAAAATATTTTTGCAAAAACAGTTCAATCTAAATATAATGAAACATTTAGACTCAACTTCCAACTTCCAGAAAGTACAAGGAATAGAGAAATAAGTTAAAATCATTAACAGAAGGAGGCAATCAGCTGAATCCAGAATGTGGGACAATCTATAAAAAATCGAACTAGTCTCTAATTAAAGTCAAAGAGGATAACTATTCTACATGATAACCATATAAAGTGAAACAAAACAATGCATACCTTAACTGCACGCTGGTTTGGAGAGGGGGAAACTGTTTAAGACATATTTGGGATAGCTGGAGAAACCTGAGTGCAGGTAACAGGATACCGTACTTACATGCTAGTTTAAGTATTTAGTGGTAAAATGTCATGATGAACACGATTTACTCAAAGATAGTTCGGTAAGAAAGTACAGGCATACATATGGATATATGATACGTATTATAGTAGTCTTAAGAAAAAAAATAGATAAGGACCAAATGTCTTTCTATAATACTCCTAAAATGCCTCATCAAGAGGTTAACAAAGAATGAAGATTCTTCTGCTAACTAGGCCAGAGAATGAAAGAAACAAGATTTTTAAAAGAATTCTTTCCCCGGTTTAACTAAATCTGAATGAGGTAACTAGCTAACTCCGAGGCCCTGGCTCTGGTTCCCGTAGCTGTCACTGACTGACTGCTGTGCGTAAGCAGAGTGGTTTAGGTGTCATTATGGGCACAGATGCCACATATTCATTACCATTAGGGCTCCAGAGAGTTACAGAGCAGAAGAGAATCAGGACACAAACACAGAAGAGCACTTGTTCAGGGTGACATCCACTGGCTATGCACTGCACAAGGTTCATCTCTAGCGCCGAGTCTAAAAATACATAGGTGATTCTAACAATCGTAAGAAAATGTCGGGAGAACATACGAGTTCAAAAATAAAAATCAAAGTTGATGAAATATTTTTTCCTAATCTCCACTGCTGAATGAAAAGGTGAAACTAAACCTAAATTCCATAATTAGGAAATAAGGGAAAATACTTATAATAATAAAATTTTACTTTAGAAATACAAAGCACAACCCTATAACAAAGCCCTGAGCATTAACCAAGACACATTTTTTAATGACTCAGATTCTAAATGGGTTCTAAAAGCTTTTCCCAGAATTATTTTTTCATAAAAATCCATAGAATTAAAATCCAACTTATCTGACAAAAACCAGCCCACTGGTTTTAGAAGGCTTTCAATTACCTAAGTGATACCCAACACTGGGTACATTATTAACCTAAATTGTAGATACAGGCAAAGGCAAAGGAAGTGGGTTGATCTAGCTTAGAGAAAAGAGGAAAGGGGATTTGTTCATCTCCATTAAGGACAAGTAGAAATGCATCATTTCTATTACAGGGATTTAAAACAGCACTTACAGAAGCTATCTATACACTGAGATACTATAATGTACAGTTGACCCTTGAACAACACAGGTTTGAAATATGCAGGCCCACTTTAAACGTTTTCTTTTTCCAATAAATATAGTACATGTATTTACCTTGTGATTTTCTTAATAACATTTTCATTTTCTCTACCTTTATTGTTAAGAATACAATATGTAATACATGTAACATACAAAATAAGTGTTAATCAGTTGTTTATGTTATTGGTAAGGCTTCCAGTCAACAGTAGGCTACTGGTAAAGTTTTTGGGGAGTCAAAGTCATACGTGGATTTTCGGCTGTGCGGGGGATCAGCCTCCCTAACCCCAGGAATGTTCAAGGGTTGACTGTATTACAAAGAAAAGGTTTGAGGAAGCTGACATTCTGGGACTCTATGCTCTTTTCTAAAGAAGGAAGGTTACACTTGAGATTCACTTGTGGGACAAGAACTATTTAAAACATGCTAGAGTATTACAACATCCAAACAAGGAGAAGACAGAAGAAAATTATAAAGTATAAAAAGTAATTACAGCATACAAAGCAATGTTTCCCAGCATTCTCTATCATATTTGTCAATGTGAAATCTGTTGTCATCCACAACTGAGAAGAACTCAACATTCACTTTTTAAAAATTGCTGTGGTTATGACCATAATGAAAAAAACAACATATTCAAAAAAAGTTAGTTTCCCAAAAGTCTAAATTATTTGAAATGTAGAGTTTTCTAAATACCTCTTAGGCTGAAAAGCAAAGCTTGAAATAACAGAAACTAAACACAAAAAGAACATACATATCAAGCTTTACAAACTAATTAACAAATCTACCAAAAGAATGGGAAATGAGTTGGTGATAAGAGGTAATAAAAAAACTGAAAAAAGATGAGATTCCCACCTGATTATTAAACCATAATCCCAAGGGACAATAAGTAAAATAGTATGGTACTGCCAGCCAAACTCGGGAAAGAAAATGAAGTCCTAAATCAGGACGGGTATGTGTATACACAAGCACGCATGCATGCACACATACACACACACACTTTTAATATGGCAACTAAAAAAAAACAGACTAGCTGGTAGATCTCTGACTTGGAAGATGAAGTTATGAGGAGATGGGACATGAAAAAGTTGACAACAAACAGGTTAGTAGGCAGAAAATATGTTTGTAAACTCTTATCAAGAGACATTATTTGATTTAGTAATCTCAAAACCCATCCCAAGGAACAGAAGGCATACATGTACATAGATTCTAATAAGGGTATTATTTATTACAGGAAAATACTCCCTCAAAACTGAAAGCCTACATTCCTATAAAATGTACAGATTTGATTGGTACTGAAGCAAAGGAGATTCTTTATGCTGACTACTGAAATACAAGCTTTAACAAGAGTGGCTGATCACCATCACCAGGGCGGTGCATAGAAGTGCACAATTTTGTTCTTTTAGATGTGTTTTAAAGTTAACATTTTATAAGACTGACAAGCCATGGAAACTAATGCTGACATATCTCTACACCAGCTGTGAAACTACAAATAACATTTACCTCAGGGAGACCAAGATTCAAGTCAAGAGGGCTTTTTAGACTTTCTCAATGTTGAAAATGAAGTAACAGTATCAGTGTGTACAGACAGGCCAACAAGCCCAGATATCTCTGCTCTGTAACAGATACAGCAGATGGCCATTATGACACTTTTATTCCTTCGGGGAGAATGATAACCATAATTTGACTATACTATATTTTAGCAGTAAGGAAAGAAAATAAATACCTCACCTGTTAAAACTAATCTCTAGTTAGAATAGAAATTCCATGAATTTAAGGTATTCATAGATTATCCTGGAACACAGGGGTCTGATTTTTTGAGAAACTGAAACTTATCTACATCATATACCAACCAAACTGTTAAGACAATTTTCTCCAATATCACTATGAACATATAGAATATAACCAAGCAACCAAATAAAGGGGGATGGGATAGAAAATCATAACGGAATACAGAGAAAACAGGCAATTTTAATAGAATTCGAAGTTCAGCACAACAAAAGATTAATGCTGATCTGGTCATTGAACACCTTATTTAGAGGCCCCAAAGCTCATCTATTAACTCTATTATTAAAGCTACAGTTTATTTTTGTTTATAATGAGGAAATCTGAGTTAAATAATTTTTTCATACTTAAAGATTCCATAATTAAACAACAAACCAAGATATGGGTCTTGTTTTAGTTTTCTTTTCCAGCTAAAAATTTGTTACATTATATTTTAGCCTTTTTTCCTTAATAGCAAGAAACATTAATTGTGGAATAATGTAGTCCATGGCTTTTCGTGAGAAATCAGGACAGCTAGAACTGCCACCAAAACTAAGGAAAGAGAGAAAATGAGGAAGGGAGCTGAGAACCAACATCCCACGTAGGGCACAGAGATGACGGGGGAACGAAGTGGCTGCTCTTCCAGAACAGCAGAATGTATGACAATGAAAAGCAGCTTCGACACGTACTTGATTAAAATCTGGATCTTTTTCTCCATCTGGTTTAGCTTCTTCTTTATCTTCCTCTGTTTCAGAACTACTCACATTCAGCTCGGGAGCCGAATCCTTCATCACCTGAATGCGCCAGGAGAACAGAGAGAGAAAGAGAAGTAGGTCAGACCCTAGGAAGACAAGCTACGGAGGCTGTGGGGGCTTTGACTGGCCGGCCACTTTTATCAATGGTGGGATAACAGACCAAAATGAGGATCAAAACTCAGCGGCTCTGTGTATTCTGTGCTCTTTTAACACGTTAGTTTTTATCCTGTGATTTATTCTTGTATTTAATGCAGTCACCATAAATGTAAGTGATCTCTACAGAACAGTTATTATTATCAGACTTTTACAATGATGTTATTTTGCAGAAGTTCAAAGATGCTCTACGTTTTCCTTAGTTTACTGATTGTCAGGCCTTTTCAAGTCAAGTCGTTCAGACAGCAGAAGTCACAATGCTCCTTAAGACTGAGAAGATGAAGAACGAAAACGAAGTGCTCTCATGCACTATGAAATACTGTTATGAAGCTCAAACACTAAAACTTTTGCTAAACTGGATACTGTATTATACTAGGTGCCAATATATACATGTACCAATAGATACAAAAAATTTAAGAGCATTTCAAAGGGATAAATTAAGACATTTATGTTCGCTAGCTTCCTTTTCCCACTAGGAAGTGAAGACCTTAGTTCGACTTGGAAAGCACAACCCTAGACCTTTAAAGTCTAATTTGTAAGCTGCCTTTCTATAACAATGTGTGGTAACTATTGAATAAAATGCATTCTATTTTGTCTTTAATTCCAAAAATCTTGGAATCAAATTAATGAGATGTCCACAGATCTGGGTCAGAATCTACCCAAGAGCCATCCCTCTTAATAAAATAATAAAAATGCTCCAAATCTAATCCACAGTAAGTTTTAACACCCCATCTCCCAAAATATACCCAAGCCTGTCTATTTTACCTACCCTCGTAGATCAATGCAAGCACCTATAAACTGACTTTTCTTATGTTATGCCCTCACCAATTCCAACACAATGGGCAGGGTGACCTTTTTAAAGCATGAATCAGATAACACACGACCTTGCTAGAAATTCTCCAATGGCTTATAGCCACACTTAGAATAAAATCCCAAGCCTTGGTATACTGTATAAAATCTAACAGAATTTGGTCCCTCATTCCATCACTATCTCTACCTGAAAGAAACTTCATTCTAGTCCACTACAGTATCCGGTGGCCACACGTGGCTATTTAAATGTTTAAATTTAAAAATCTAGTCACCGTAGCCATAATTCAAGTGCTCCACAGTCACATGTGTCTAGTGGTACTGTAGTGTATAGTATAGACATAGACATTTCTGTCATTGCAGGAAGTTCTATTGGACAGTGCTGCTCTAGATACAATGATTTTTCACTCTACTGCTTGAGCACATTAGGCTATCCCTTTAGCTCTTCTTCCTCCCTTTGTTGGAATACTCTCCTTAGGCTAGATCCCTGATAGCTAATGCTCAGGTAAAATTATGCTTCTTCTAAGTCATCTTTCCTGCCTAATACTCCCTATCTGACTGTCACCTCCACCTCTATCAGTCTCTCACTTTGCCGTTAAATTTCCTTCGAAACATTCCTCCCTATACGAAATCAAGTTAATTTATGGATTAAATGTTTATAAACTTATGGGTTTATTCTTGGTTCACTTCACTAGGTACAAACATTCTTGAGGGCCAGTGCCTTGTCTATCTTCTTCACCACTGTATCCCCAGCAGAAAAACATCCCTGGCACACAGGTGACATTCAATAAGTATTTGTGTATACAATAACTGATTAATTCCACATATAATCACATAATTATTCAATTCTTGTCTAATTTATATTCTTTGTCTAATTTCAATTCTTGTCTAATTTATATTCTTATGCCAAACAGCTCCAAGAAAACAAAAATGTGACTCTAAGCAATCCAAAAGCAAGCCAAACAAACAAAAATAAGCTTGATCATTACTAGTCATGGCCACAAGAGGGACTGGTACCTTCTTATTATCCACAACTTTATGGACATAGATGGTGGCTTGAGT